AAGAGACAGATCAAGTCTTAGCGTCATTTGATTATTCTCATGTGGTGGAACTTATTGAAGGAACAAATAGAAAAAGCTAGAGGAAAAATGCAACCCCTAGAACTGGAGGGGTTCATGTGACTCCATGACAGTCCCAAGAAATCCCTGGTACCTGTTCTGCTTCTCTTCTCAGGTCTAAGGACACCAGAAAATACAATGTATTGGTTGGGTCACTTTGGGCCTCTGATCATCCAGAATCCAGATCAACAACAATACCAGTGTCCAGGATTATTTTCTACCCTGACTTTCAGGAAGGCACATCCAGCACCATTGCTATGGTAGAACTGGTCCACCCAGTTTCTTTCAGTCCTGTGGTCCTGCCCATCTGCCTCCCCACATCTGCCCTCCAGCTGAAGAAGTCAACCTCTTGCTGGGTCACTGGATGGGGCTATTCCCGGATATACCACTGTAAGGATAAGTACATTTTCTGAGCTTTGGTGTACTAAAATCTTCAAGTCAGATGATACTTCTGTTCAATATGAAAAGTAAATATAATTCTACCTCTGCACATAGAGTGTGTAGGGGAAATGGATAGGGCAAGTGGAGATGACAATGTATTCAGAAAAGTAAAACCACAGCAAAACCTGGGCCAGACTGGGAGAGCTCAGATTCATTTATGTATCAACAGCCTTGATTTTTCTCAACACATCAGATCTACTCTTATTTCTATATAAGAATTAAAAAGATAGCCAAGCCTAACAATTTAATTCTGCTTTATTTACGGTTTAGGGTTTTTTTAAGCACAGGATTTTTCTGTAATTTGTACAATGTGACTGCTAACTGCCTTCAACCTTGTTCTGAATCAGGAAGTTCAGCTTTCAGGTTATTTCAACACTGTAAGTTAGAATGTTGTCAGATATGGAGACAGGATATTTGAAATCGGAGCTATCCCTAAATCAGAGGTGTAAAATCTGTCACCCTAGGTACAAAGTGCTTCATAATTTTTCAGCTTTGACTCTTTTTGATCTTACAGATATCAAGCCACCTTATAAACTGAAGGAGCTGAAAGTGCCCCTCATTGATCTCCAGGCATGCAATAACTTCTACCAAAAGAAAAGTTTGCTCCATGGAGTCAAGCCCAACATCAGTGAAGCCACGATCTGCTCCAAGTTCCCAGTGGAGCATATGGATCAGTGTATAGTAAGAACCCTACAGACACCCTTCAGAGTCCCTCCCTTCCCTGGTGTGCTTCCTTCATGCCTCTTATCTTCAGAGTCCCTGAGTGAACCCAGGAGTAACCTGTACTAACTCTACAGCTCTTTGTGAATAAACTACCAGAGAGTCTCCCCCTTTGCCTGTACACCATCTAGCCATCTATCCTCTCTCCCTCAGGGCAGCAGAGGAGACCCTCTGGTGTGTCAAGTGGAGGATTTCTGGGTCCTGGCAGGAGTGATGAGCCAGGAGTCAAACTGCATCCGAAACAGTGAGCCAGGAGTGTATACAAACATCAGTTTCTACAAAGCTTGGATTGAGAAGACAGCCACCTCATTTAGTGGCTTTTTTGGTACTCCCAGTTTGGACATCTCTAGGCACTTGCCTGTTCTGCTTATGCTACTCACTTCCCTGGTGCTACCCTAACTGGCTGAAGTCAGTATGGCCAGGCAAAGTGGCAATTAAAATGAGAAAGGAGAAATTCTAGAAGGTTACAATTTTGCAGATTCAGCAAGATAGATGCAATTCTGTACCCTCTAGGCACAGTTCTCATTAAGCCTACTCTATTTGGTAAACCTTTCATTACCTTGGAAAACAAGATCCCCAGCACAAATAAAATTGGATTGACTTTAACTATTACTTCTGATAGTCATTCTTTTCATCAATCTGGAGACAGGGTCTGGGGAAAGAGAGAAGCACAGAATTTAGGCAACTGGAAATCACCTGGCTCAACAATACCTGCATTCTATACACTAAGAAGCTGGGGGCCAGACAACTTAAATTACTTTGCCCTTCACTGAATTCAAGATGAAAACTATCTAATCTAGGACTATACTGAGTTCTGAACAACAACAACAAAACACAGGGATTCAGGAGATTAGAAGTTTCCAAATGAAACATGCCAGGCAGGGGAAGCCTAGGGCAGTGTATTAGATATCTACTGCTGTGTAACAAATCACCCCAAAATGCAACAGCTAAACACAGCATTTATTTTCTCACAATTTTTGTGGGTCAGTAATCAGGGAGGGCTGAGCTGTATAGTTCTGGTTATTGTTCAAAAGGCTGATGCTTTATCTGCCAAAGCTGCAGTCAAGGGTCTAGTTTCTAGCTACGTCATATTCTCTGACAGACCTCCGCCGATCCATTTCTAAGATCACTTACCTAGGCCTCTCTGAGGTTAGCCTCAGGGTAGCTGGCTTCCCCCAGCATGAGTAATTAGAGATAAAGTGAAAGCCTAAGATGGGAGTCACACCACATATGCCACACCGCCACCAGCTGCTTCTCTCCTCCCACAGAGCACCCGTGCTGCACTACCACGTGCAGCCTTGAGAGGGCTCCACAGGGGCCTGGGGGCTGCAGTCACAGGCAAAGGACAGACTGTGGGGGCTGGGGAGAGGGGTGGCAGGCCTCTCACTGGCCAGCTGGAAACCTCCTAGGAACAGGGAATGACCCCTCCTTGTTTTGTCTTTAACACAGTTTTAAACATTTAACACTGGGACATCTGGCCCTTGATGTTCTTTCTTTATCTGTCACTCTCAAAATGAAAGTCTGAAAGCTTCCAGAGTAATTTTAAAGTCTGGCTGAACATTTAGTAATGAAGAAACTGTTCAAATTTCCTTCTAGTTTGGTCTAAGTCTTTCGTCAAGTGGGTCAACATACGGGGATTTCTGATCATTCCAATCAATGACTCTAAGACCTTCATCTCTGCTGGCGTCTCGAGGGCGCAGCCTTGCTAGAGGCATCTTAGCTCCATGCCATGTGGTCTTCCCTGAAGTTACCCAAACGGTGCCTTCTCCATAACCTTCCTAAAACCCTTCTCCATGGAACCTCTCATCTGCCCTTGCATGGAGAACTTGTCCTGATAGCAGGCCTGCCCCTCCCCCTCGGGGGTCCAACTACCCTGCACTCCCAGCTGAGTGGGGATCAATCCCTTAAGAAGGCACAGCTTTTGAACAGGCTATAACCACTTCCTCCTGAAAGGTATCTAAAGATAGCCTTGATGACAACAGGGTAATATGAACTGGTAAAGAAAATGTAAGAACAGGAGACAGAAGAGAGGCAGAAGGTTATAGGAATTGTTTTTAGGAAATCCTGTCCCTGGAATTTCCATTAACCACCTACTCTCTTATATCCAGCTCCTTGGCACTTCTTTTTTTTTTTTTTAAAGATCGTTTATTCGTGCATACAAGAGCTGGAAGGTAGGCCAGAGGTGCCCGGGTGGGGAGGTGAGGGGGTGGTGGTGCAGAACAGGTACATCTACTGAAATACACTGATGGGGGGAACAGCCGGTGAGTGGAGAGGTCTGTTGCATCGTGTGGGTCAGCTCCCGGGCTGGGAATTGAACTGGTGTTGCAGTGGTTGCAGACAGCTTCATAGTGCTGAGACTTAACCCCCTGTGCTACCAGGGAGGGCCCTCCTTGGCACTTTTTATCTAAGAAGCAGGGAGTAGCAAAATGGCAGAACCAACATGTTTCTTGATTGCTAAACCCAAAATAAGAAAATATTTGTAGACAGATAATAGAGGTTTACAGACAATGATAAGCAAGCAATCCACAATTCACTGTTACATCTGAACAGAATCTTTGCAATCATCAATTGATCCCAAAGCTTTGTAGTACAACAGGAAACTGTCCTTAGCATAAAGGTGGCTTTCTTCAGGTCATTCAGCCATCTCCATGACAATGACTGAAAAGCCCTGCGCCTGAGGATCAGGCTTCTCCTATATGATAAAAAAGCTTAGCTGTTTAAATTAATTTAATTTTTAATTTCCAACCCCCTCTTTAAAAATGAACATTTTCTTACACAGCCCAATACCATTATCATATTTAGCAAGATGAACACTTAGTCCTTCATAGCATCTAACACCTAACTCCTTGCTTTTACTAAAATATCAGTCAATGGCCACAGAGAACCTGGAAGGCGCAGAGAACCTGGGGCCGATGCTGTGCTGCGCTTCCCAGTACACCAGCAAGAACTGAAACACTCATTCTCTCAGCAAATAGGAGTATTGGCTGCGGAGACTTCACAGCCAAATCCTATCCCAAGAACTGCCAAAGAGCCACCTCACCCAAGGCAAAACTCCACCCTGGGGTGGCAGACATCCAATCCCACAGGCGTCCAGGGGCCCAGCTGGCCTCTGTGCAGGCCTCCCTAAGGGCTACCCAGCTGCGGCGTGACTTGCAGGGTTGGCTGGAGCATGTGTTGCACTGCAATTCAACTCTCCTCCTACCCACTCCTGCGTCCACCCTCTCCACTCCAGGCCCCACCCCACGTATCAATCAGGACTCTAGTCCATAATAGACTTCTTGCACACAAATCTATCTTAGAGCCTATTTCCCAGAGAATATCAACAGAATTTGAGTATAATCAAGTACAGGTCAGCACGGTAACCAAATTGAAAATAAAAAGTCAGCAAGGAACTAGATTAATTTCCTCTTTTCCACTTTCTGAAGAAGGATGCCCACCTTCCATTTCCTTACTATAGGTAAGGTCCTGTTCTTTCTAGTGTCCTCCAACCCGCCTAGTCAGGCAGTCAGTCACTAACCCACCTCCTCACTTTTCTCCAGATACCTCAGACAGCCTGCCTCCCCCGGACAGCAGGGGGCACCTAAGACCCCAGCAGCTACACTTAACTCTTGTCCCCTCACTTAGCCAGTCTGAGGTAACAAAGGAGAGAGCCAGTGAAGCAAAGGACTCGGGTTAGGAGGAGAAGCTAGTCCTGACCTTACCTCTCTGACTGCTCCCCAGCGTCTTCTCCCTGGGAGCCTGAGTCCGGGAAACAGGAAGTGCTGATTCTAAGGACAGAAGACATGGGCCCTGCTGGTTTTGCCTTCCTACTGTTCCTACTGCTGGGTGAGGCCCTGGGCAGAGAGCAGGGGGCGGGGAGAGGTGAAGGTTTTTAACCTGAGAAGGCATACAGAGTTACCTGACACATCTCCCATGGGGTGCTACTTAAGAACAGTGTGCCCCGAGAGTGTCCCAAGAATGTCCTGGCTATAAAATCAGACACCCTTCCAAGGCTCTAGGGTAAAGCAGTAAACAAAACTACAGTTCCTTCAGGACCTCTGACCCTAGAGGACAGGGGTAGGAGGTGTGTTGCTAATTTCAAATAGGGCAGTCAGGGAAGGTTTCACTCAGGAGGCATTTGAGCGAAGGCTTAAATGCGGTAAGTGACGTAGCTAAGAGAATACAGAAAGGAACCGGCAGTGCAAATGCTGATCAATGATTTGGGGCATAAATTTGTTCATTTATTTTTCTGGCTTAAAAGTAAGGTAACTTGGGCCGTCCCTGGTGGCACAGCAGATTAAAGCACAGCACTAAGAAGCTTAAGCCACTTCCGCATGAGTTCGATCCCCGCCTGCCCCGGAGGTGACCACATGGCGCGGCAGACCTCTCCTGACCCGCCCGCTGCTCCCCTCAGCAGTGTACTTCGTCGATCTTCCTGTTCTGCTCCCCACTCTGTCTCTGGTGAATCCTCTCACCCTCTGCATTTCTGGCCTGTACCCCAGTTCTGTATGAATAAATAAATAAATCTTAAAAGCAAGGTAACTTAAAAGTAAGGTAGAGTGAGAGCCGCAAACACCAAAAACAAAACCCCCCACCCAAACCACTTCCGTTAAATAGGAAAAATAAAATCACTGATAAATCTCCAAAGATTTATATTTATTTATATTCCTAATGATAACCTTGAATCATCAGTAAAAGTTGAGTTATGTTCCACCGGTGCTGCTAAAAAGGCAGTTATAAATGTTAAGGATCATGACATATATAAACACTTGGCCTGTAACACCAATCTGAGAAGTTTAAATAAGCCACAAGTCTCTTGGTTCAGCAGGTGTGTGATTATGTCAGTGATTCAGGGTGTCTTCCTAGGATCCTGCTCATGTTCTCCCCAAAAGAAAGACCTGCAAACAGGTGAGTTCACTCCCATGGGGCCGACTAGAGTCTGGAGCAGGACTAGAACAGTGTAGGGGGGCGGAGGGCGGACTCAGGTCCCAGGGATGGATGAGAGTTTGGGGATAAAATAGGTACCAAACAAACACTGTACCCAGATTTTCGCATTTCTCTCCTCTAGTGTGTGGACGACCTGTGTACCCCAGCCGCGTCGTGGGGGGCCAGAACAGCGCTGAGGGGCGCTGGCCGTGGCAGGTCAGCCTGTGCTACAGTGGGACCCACGTCTGCGGGGGCTCCCTCATCAGTGAGCAGTGGGTGCTGACCGCAGCACACTGCATACAAGGGTGTGTGCTGGCTGGCCACCCTCTAGCTGGTTCTCGTAAATATCTGAATAATTTCTGTAACAAGCCAACAGTCAGTAAAGGTGGGAAGGCGGGTGTAGGAGGCAGGAAAGCTAAGTTCCCTTGTCTAGGGACACAGCACAGAGGTGGAAAAGAAGTGACCGAGACAGGCACTCTATCAGCGCCTTTTCATGTTTGCGGATCACTTCCTAATCATGTCAGTCAGGGGAAGTGATCTGTGGCTCTTTTGGGTCACAAACACAACCTGGGATCTCTTGAGAGCTACTGCTGTGAGAGAAACATGGAGCCTTGTGGTAAGTAGCCCAGGAGAGAGGCCCATGTAAATATGATGATGTCTCCAGCCAAAAGCTGGTGAAGATTTGAAGTGCCCTAACACGTGACCTTTAGAAGCACATTTTCCCTGAGTGGAATCTTGAGACTGATGCAGCCTGGTGAGAAAACTTGAGTTGAAGGTACTGGCTAAGTCACACCAGATTCATGACCCACAGAACGCGAGACAGATGTTTATTTTAAGCCTCTCAGCTTTGTAATAACTTGATTAAGAAACAATAGAAACCAGTAGATAACAGAAATCAAAATGAACAAGACTTCTCAATACCAACTCTAAGAGAGCAACAGAAATAGACAATAACTACAAAATGCTGAGGGAAGTTATTTTTAAACTAGAGTTCTACCCATATAAAAACTGTCATTCAAACGTGGCACAGAAATATGTTCCAAATATACAAAGCAGCAAAAATATTACCTCTGATGCACATTTTCTCAGGAAGTCCCAGAAGAATGTGCTTCCCCAAAATAAAGGGAGGAAGAAAATGGAACCCAGGAAAAAAGGGAATATATCTTAGAAGAGAATCCCCAAGAAAACCATAAAGATTTGTGACTGCCAAGAGTATAGCAGAGGACTCTGAAAAAAGAAAATTGTATAGAATGTCTGGCAGCTTTCAACATACTGAGAGATTTATAGTTCTGCAGCAGTTTGGGGACTGAATGATGAATTAGTGATAAATATACAGAAAACAAAAAGTGAGACTATAACTCCAGGAGAAGCAAAAGTTTTATAAGAAATGTAATTACAGTACCCAGTAAGGTCGAGTAGTGAATATTTATGTAGTCACAGAGCAGAAAGACATAATATATACTGATCTTGAAAAAGTTATAATACGAGGCTAGGCAGATGGGTGAAAACTAAGGGATTGGTATTGGCTCATGGCTAATCCTTAGCTCCTACAGTAGAAATACAATATTCTAAAAGTGGGAGAAAAAACTCAATAGCAATATGTATGATTTATTGAAAATACTAGGGAATACTAAAGGAAAGAGCTAAGAGTTGAAGTGATTTGTTTTTGGATAGTGTAAACCGAGGGCAGGTTAGAGAACTTGTTATTTGCTTATTCTGCGTATCTTATTAAACATATTAAATAGCGTATATAAATGCATAAAACTGATTATAGACTTTACATTTTTATTTACTCTTTCTGCCATCTCTCTGTGCCTCTATAATGGTGTGGTAAAAATCATGGCTCATGCTCTCAAGAGCATCCACAAATACTGAAAAGAGAGGCAGATGCAGGTATTACTGGACTATGCTCTAACGTAATTGTCCGTTTTTGATCTGTGATGATGAAGCAAATGACTGGCTGATTTCAAATCACTAATGATCAGAGAGGTGGGAAAAATAATGACGAACCTCACAGGTAATGTGATCAGGCCCGAATTGATGGGTAAAAGATTCAGAAAAATGGGAGAACGATCTGCTCCAGTCCCATTAGTTTGGTTTCATTTACTGCCAACATCAGGGGGCATCATGCTGATGAAAACACATAGGGGGAAAATCCTGGGATTCTTTTTCTAGGTATGTAACACATATTTCCAATAAAATACATCCGTGGACTCTGGTGCTTCAAAACTGATTCATTAAAAGTTTGTTTATGAATAAATCTAGTGCTCAGAAATCAAAATTGGCAAGGAAAAAATAGGACATAACTATCAAGCATATGGTGTATAAAATCAGAGAAAATGGGAGAGGTGAATGAAAAACCAGGGAGAAAATATAGGATAAAACTAGCTATTAAGCATATATGAAGAGAGCTTAGAAACAGCAACAAAATTAAAATGGTCAGGGAGGAAAGGGAATAGAAAAGGAGATAATTCAACCATAGTGCAAGCTGGCAGCAGCCTGGTTAATTGAGTCTTGTGCCCTCCTTTCTTGCCTAGACATTTGATGCTACTTGTAGGTAGCTTATGTGACCCAGCAGTAACACACAAGCTACATTTTTATTCTTCGCTTTCTTTCTCATAGGAACTTCTTTACTTTCTTCTACTCTGTGAAGCTAGGACAGCTTGAAGTAAATAGTTTAAAAGAAGGCAAGGTGTACAAAGTGTCCAAAATCATCACACACCCCAAGTTTAATGAAACAACTGCAGACATCGCCTTGTTGAAACTGTCCTCTAGAGTCACTTTCACGTCTCTCATCTTGCCTATTTGTTTGCCCAATAACACAGAGCAGCTGGTGATTCCAAGCTCTTGCTGGGTGACTGGATGGGGAAAAATGAATCAAGCAGGTAAATATAATGGAGAAAGGAGTTGACTTAAATATTGCCCTCTTGCATCACTCTACAATATTCACATTGTAGGTGTATCACTATAAAGGCAAATATTTGTCCACACATTCAGATCAGACTATTGACAGTATCTTTAAGTCTGCAAATAAAATGCTTTTCATCCTGTCTAGAATCGAGCTATAGCTAGAAGAGTAAATATTAGAATTTAAAAACAAAATGACCGAGTTTACAAGTTAATAATTATGACTTAAAGTTTGGGGGAAATCTTGTTTTTTAATTTGTTAAGATGTTGTGTCAACTTTTTCCCAGGATGGACTTAAGAAAGGAATTTATCTGGGCAGAAAAGTGGGAAAGAAGAAAGTTTTGGAATATTTTAGAATGCTCACGTCCCTACATGGCACAGTATAAAGACCTCAAATAAAGGGAAATTATGATTATCCACTGTTTTAGATTCACAAAATGATCCTCTTGTTAATATGATTGGAAAGCAGTTGTGCTCTGGTTTTGGATTCCCCTTCAGAGATTTCGGAACATTATGACCGAATGTTATCCCTGCACCATTCCAGGTTGCTTTAACCTTTCATCCCTGTCTCTCTCCACAGATAATGATTACGCGACCATCCTCCAGGAAGCAGAAGTACCTATCATTAACCAAAAGGCTTGTGAAGACCTCTATAATCCATTAGCTTCTATGCTGCCACAGTTGGAAGCCATTATCCATGATGACATGATTTGTGCTGGTAAAAACATGAAGGATAGTTGCAAGGTAAGGCTTTATTCTTTACAAAAATTTTCATGTAACCTTAGGTTTTTACTGAGGTGTAATTGACATATAACTATTATATTCAATACATGCATTTTAGTGGGAAGTGGTCATGAAGTAAGTCTAGTTAACCTCCATCATTACACAGATACAATTATTTTCCCATGATGAGAACTTTGAAGGTCTACTCTCTTAGTAACTTCCAAATAATGCACTACTGAATAGTTACCATGCAGTATATTATATCCCCAACACATTATTTTTATAACTTTAAGTGTATATACCCTTTGAAATGCCCTTCACCCATTTCACTTCATCCACTTCACCTTTCAACCCTTACCTCTGGGAAGTACCATATATTCTACTTATTTGACTGGACTTTCTTTTTTAAAAGATTTATTTATTTATGCATATAAGAACTAGGGTACAGGCCCGAGGTGCAGGGGGCGAGAGGACCCTTCAGAGACAAAGTACGAAGCAGAACAGGCAGATGTACAGACACACACTGCTGGGGGAGCAGTGGGCGAGAGGAGAAAGATCTGCTGCGCCATGTGGATCACTCCCTGGCTGGGTGTTGAACTCATGCTGTAGTGGCTTTCGAGAGCCCCACAGTGCTGAGTACCCACCCACTGTGCCACCTGGGAGGGCCCTTGGTTGGTTTTTTTGTTTTTGTTTTCAGATTCCACCTATGAGAGAGATCATATATAGTATCTTTCTGTCCCACAGATTTCACTTAGCATAATTCCCTCAAGGTCTACCGAAGTTATTGGAAATGTCAAGATTTTATACTTTTTTTAATGGATGAATAATATTCTGTGTATAACTTTCTTTATCCATTCCATCAATCACACTTAAGTTGGCTATCTCAGCTACATAAACAAAATGCTACTAGGAAGGGGGTATTGCTATCTTTGATTTAGTATTTTTGGTTACTTCAATAAACACCCTGATGTGCGATGACAGTTCTATTTTTAAGTTTTTGAGAAAGCTCCTGTTTTCCATATTGGTTATACCGATTTATATTCCCACAATAGGACACAAGGATTCCCTTTTCTCCACATCCTCACAGACATCTGTTATTACTTGTCTTTAATAATACTCATTCTAACAGTTATGATTATCTCACTGTACTTTGATCTGCATTTTACTGATGTTCAGAAACTCTTCTTGTACTCTTCCTTATGTCTTCTTTGGGAAAATATCTTCAGACCTTCTGCCCACCTTTAAAAGGACTTATTTTGCTTATTCAGTTGTAAGTTAATTGCATATTTTATCAGACATAATAATCCTTGTGTGACAGGATTTGCAAATATTCTTCCTTTTAATAGAATGCCTTTTTATTCTGCTAATGGTTTTCACTGCTGTGTAGCATCTTAATTTGATGTAATCTTACTTGCTTAATTTTTACTTTTGTTGTCTTTGATTTTGGTGTCAAATCTAAAATCTCATAACCAAGATAGATGTCAAGGAGCTTACAACCTATGTTTTTTTCCAGTTTTTCTGAGGCTTTGCATTCATGCCTTTCATCCATTTTGAGCTAGTTTTTGTTGAGCTAGTAGTCCAGTTTCATTTTTTTTTTTTTTAATGTCGCTCTCCAATTTTCTCAATACCATTTATTTGGGAGAAGTCTAAGGGCTGATATTAATTCTTCTTTGAGTATTTGGTAGAACCAGTAAAGCTGTCTGGTTTTGAACTTTTTGTTTGTTGGAAAATTTTAGATTATTAATTCAGTCTCACTAGTAGTGAATCTGATCAGATTTCCCTATTTCTTTATGATTCAGTCTTGATAAGCTGTATGTTTCTAGGAATTTATCCATTTCTAAGTTGTTCCATTTATTTGCCTATAATTTTTTAGTATTCTATTACGATCCTTTGCAGTTTTGTGCAATGAGGTACAAGTCTCTTTATCTGTTTTTATTTATTGGGTTTTTTTTATTCCTTGGTGAATATAACTAAAGGTTTGTCAATTCTATTTATCTTCTCAAGAACTAATTGAATTTCATTTATACCTTCTATCATTTTTGTCTCTATTTAACTTTTTCCATTCTTATCTTTGTTATTTCCTTCCTTCTACTATCTTTGGGCTGTTTCTTCTTATTTTAGTTCCTTGAGGTATAAAGTTGGATTGTTACTGGAGCTACTTCTTGTTCCTCAAGATGACATTTACTGCTATGAACTTCCCTCTTAAGACTTCTTTTGCTGCATAGCCTAAGTTTTAGTAGGTTATATCTTTGTCTCAAGGTATTTCCCCCCCCTCTTGATTTCTTCTTTGGCCTATCAGCTGTTCAGCTGATTGTTGTTTAATCTTCATATATTTATGAATTTCCACTTTTTATAATTTATTTCTAGTTTTGTCATTAGAGTTGGAAATTATGTCATTGTTCCCAATTTATTAATCCTGGAGAATATTTCATGGATTTAAGAAGAATGTGTACTCTGGTGCTTTGAAATGGAACGTTCTGTATATATCTGCTAGGTCATTCTGGTTTAACATGTTAAGACTGACATCTTCTTATTGATTTTCTGTCTGGATGATCTATCCATTGATGCAAGTCGAGTATTAAAATTCCCACTATTAGTGTATTGCTGTCTATTTCTCCCTTCACATCTGTTAACATTTATATATTTCAGTGCTCCTATGTTGGGCACATATTTATAAATGGTATATCCTATTGTTGGAATGACTGCTTTATCATTATAGAAAGTCCTCTGTCCTAGATTAGAATCTTTATTTTTTTTTTGAAGATTTATTTATTCATACAGAACTGGGGTACAAGCCAGAGATGCAGGAGGCGGTGAGAAGATTTACCAAAGACAGAGTGGGGAACATAACAGGCAGATCAAGGAAGTACACTGCTGAGGGGAGCAGTGGGTGGGTTCGCCTCCCATGTGGATCACCTCCGGGGCTTGGAATCAAACCACTGAAGCAGCTGCGGTTTGCTTGCAGTGCTGCGCTTTAACCTGCTGCGCCACCAGGGAGGGCCAAGAACCTTTATTTATAGTCAATTTTGCCTGATAGAAATAAATCCATCCCAACTTTGTTTGGGCTTCCATTTGCATGGAATGTCTTTATCCACTCCTTCACTTTCAATTTAAATATTTCCTTGCATCTGAACACTCTGTAGGCAGCAAATAGACGGGTCTTTGTTTTTAAATCCATTCAGCCAATCCATGTCTTTTGGCTGGGGATTCTGGTATATTTACATTTACAGTAATTGTTGATATTAACTTACTGTGATTTTTAATTCTTTTACACATCAACAGATTTGTGATATTGTCATATATAATAGATGATTTAGCACAAAAAGTGATGGACTATTGATACATGGGTGAATCTTGAAAAGGATATGCTAAGTGAAATAAGCCAGACATAAAAGGTAACAGATGCCATTTACACAAAATGTTCAACACATACAGATCCATTGAAGGAGAAAGTAGATTACTGGCTGACTTAGGTTGGGAGATTTGGGAGGGAATAAGAGTAACTAATGGGTATAGTATTTTTTTCATGGGTGATGAAATGTTACTGTCATTATTATTTATAAAAGGCTTATTTAACATTAAGAAGGGAGGAAGTATTAAGAATAGATATATAGGGCCCTCCCTGGTGGTGCAGCGGGTTAAAGCACAGCACTGAGAAGCTAAAGCCACTTCCGCATGAGTTCGATCCCCACCTGCCCCAGAAGTGACCACATGGCTGGCAGACCTCTCCTGACCCGGCCGCTGCTCCCCTCGGCAGTGTACTTCGTCGATCTGCCTGTTCTGCTCCCCACTCTGTCTCTGGTGAAGCCTCTCGCCGCCCCTGAGCCTCTGGCCTGTACCCCAGTTCTGTATGCACAAATAAATAAATTAAAAAAAATAGATATATAGTTTACTGAACTGAATAAATTTAATGGTAGTAAAAATACCACCACATTCTTTTTTATCACATAAATTATTTTGAAACTACTGATATATTTAGCGACAGTTTCTGCCAGTTTCAAATTCTATGATTCTGGAATTCCCATGTGCTCCCTCTAATGGGGTAGGAAGCTCAGGCCTTCCAGAATTCTTTAACTCCATAGACTCAACTGCTCCATTCTCAGGAACTTGTGACCACTCTCTTTTTCATGTTCCTATTTCATCATACTCCTAACTGTTCTCTCTTCCTTAGGGTGACTCTGGAGGACCTCTGTCATGTCATATTAATGGTGTATGGATGCAAATAGGAGTGGTAAGCTGGGGGATGGGTTGTGGTGTGTCTACTCCTGGAGTGTACACCAATGTGACCTACTACCAAAAATGGATTAACACCACTGTCTCAAGAGCAGAGGCCCTGGGTGTCGATCACCTGGACTTAACTGACTTCCTGTTCCCTGTTGTACTGCTATGCCTGGCTCTCCTGGGAACCTTCTAACATCCTACCAGGATAATAGGAAGAATACCTACTGCTGATAGCCAAACTAAGTCCCAGGGGCAGCGCATATGGCTATAAGAAGATCATTAAGAACTCTGGATGGCTTGATTAAAATAATTAGAAATAACTGTTTTTGAGGTTCTTGAGTCTAGATGTATTTTTTTTTTTAAAGATTTATTTATTTGTGCATACAGAAATGGGGTACAGGCCAGAGGCTCATGGGCGGTGAGAGGCTTCACCAGAGACGGAGAGGGGAACAGAACAGACAGATCAACGAAGTACACTGCTGAGGGGAGCAGCGGGCGGGTCAGGAGAGGTCTGCCACGCCATGTGGTCACCTCCGGGGCAGGCGGGAATCGAACTCATGCGGAAGTGGCTTCAGATTCTCAATGCTGTGCTTTAACCCGCTGCGCCACCAGGGAGGGCCTAGATGTATGTTTTAATGGTTGGTAAATGAATAGCTGAATTATAAGGCTGCTGTTTCTGTATATGGCATTCTTTTCCATGACTCTGCTTCCATCAAGGAAGGCAGGAAGGATGGTACGTATTTATTCACACAAATTAAATGGGTCCTAGAAATGAGAAAAGATAATAAACCTGAGGGCACTGGGCTGCCCAGTTGCTTACAACTGCAGGACAAGGCCCAAAGCATGGGGCTCATGGTGTGAAACAATAACAACAGGGTTTCTCTATACCAGAGGAGTATGACAGGCTGGTGTGCAGTCAAATGCCATCTGTTCTACCCCAGATAGCACCTGCTGAACAGAAACAGAGGTCCAAACCGAAGTCCTACGTGGCAACCTGAAGACTTCTCTGCAGGCATCTCTCCTCACCAGCAGTCAAACTGCCAAAGCCCTAGCAGCTTAACAGCCAAAACCTCAGCAGCTTTTTGTTTTTTTTTTTTTAAGATTTATTTATTTAAGCATACAGAACTGGGGTACAGGTCAGAGGTGTGGGGACAGTGAGAGGATTCATCAGAGACAGAGCGGGGAGCAGAACAGGCAGATCGATGAAGTACACTGCTGAGGGGAGCAGTGGGCGAGACAGGAGAGGTCTGCTGCTCCATGTGGGTCAGCTCCCCACCCGGGGATGGCGGGGACTGAACTCATGCTGCAGCGGCTGCAGTAGCCTCCCAGTGCTGAGCTTCAACAGGTTGTGCTACCAGAGAGGGCCCTCAGCGGCTTTTTACTTGCTAAAAAACTTGGGCCCACCCTTTTTTTCCCATCAGCCCCCTGTTCAAGGGGTAGAATTTGAAAATTCCATCTTCTACCACTGAGTTGGAGTTGGGGGAATGTGGAAAGTTGAGTCTGCTACTACTGCCATCCACTGTTGTGCAGGTCATGCCTCAGCATTCCTCTTATAAAAAGGCAAAAGGGAAGAGTCTTCATAGAAATATGTTAACAGTTTACTTCATGCCTGTGGGCTGCATTATGGATTTGTTGTCAGACCAGCTCTGTAGCAAGGGATGTGATACGAAATACATACATGTAATATAAAACATGTAGTTTTATATTATTTGAACCCTTTATTTAAAAAAAATGTATTTTTTATGACTCAAAACTGTGATTAATAGCATGACCTAAAAAACTGAAGTCCTGAGTTTTCTACAGTTTAGATCTGTTCAGGTTGTTTAACATCACTTCTATAATAAAGCACTTTACATTTTTATAGGGAAAAGATTATTTTCCTTGCTTAACTTAATACTTTTTGTGTTGAGCATTCACATAACCAATTTCCTTGACTGTGTAGGCTTCCAGGATTTCAGAGCTAAATTTTATACTTGATTTCAGTCATTATCTTTACCCTAAATTATCAGGTATAATTTCACTCACATCCCTCTATTATTTAACCTACCCTTCATTTCTCATTTGAATTAACTAAGTTTTACTGCATTTGTATCTTTTATGGTAAATCAACTTTCAAAAACAATTTTTTGGATAAATTTATTTATTTATTTAAAGATTTATTTATTTATGCTTACAGAACTGGGGTATAGGTCAAAAGTGTGTGGGATTCACCACAGACAGAGTAGGGAACAGAACAGGTAGATGCATCAAAATACACTGCTGAGGGGAGCAGCAGGTGGGCAAGAGAGGTCTGCCGCACCATGTGGGTCACTTCCCTGGCCAGCAATGGAACTCACGCTGCAGTGGCTTTGGAGAGCTTCATAGTGCGGCACTTTAACCCGCTGCACCACCAGGGAGAGACCTATTTAATTATTTAAAGATTTATTTATTTTAAATCAACTTTCAAAAACAGTTTTTGGACAAATTTATTTATTTGTCAGATTTATTTATTCATGCATACAAGAACTGGGGTACAGGCCAGAGGTGGAGGTGAGGGGTAAAAGGATGCACCAGAGACAGAATAGGAACAGAACAGGATGACTGACATACACTGCTGAGGGAGCAGCGGGAGAGACAGGAGAGGTCTGGCATGCCATGTGGGTCAGCTCCCTGGCTGGGGATTGAACTCAGGCTGCAGTGGTTGCTGTCAGCTTGATTGTGCTGAGACCTAACCCTCTGCATCACCAGGGAGGCCTCTGGATAAATACATTTAATAGGAAGTGAACTAGACTTGGAAATTTGAAATTCTTGCTTACCCTTAACCTCACCTCTCAACTGGAAGGCCACTTCTGCCTCCTAACTTGCATCCCCACATCCTTTATGACCTACACCTATGCTCACCCATTTATTCTGTACAGCATTCCGACTAATGTTGACTTTTTTACAATTTTATCTGTCATTGTACTTTTTCATGATTTCTTTAACCTTTGATGCCAGCTTTGCCAACCACTACCTTTTACAGGATTGGAACTCTCATCGTGATTTAGTGAATACTGTAGTAAAATTGTTTTCCAAATTGGGCTGCTGTGAACTTACTAGATTCTGATTATACAAGTGGACCTCATAGAATGTCAGGTACAGCAAGAACCTGGAAAGGTGTGTATCCCGCATAAGTATCATAATCTCTAGAACCTATATATCTATAATTTTATATCTATCTCTATATATGTTACTTTATCTGATAAAAAGAGACTGCACATGTGGATTAGTATTGTGAGGCGGGGAGATTACCCCGGACAATGTGGATGGGCCCAATATAATAAATCTTCTAAGAGGAAAGTAGGTAGGTCAAAGGCAGGGATTCCTACGAGAACATGCAGAAGACATAAAGCTGAAGCAGAAAGCAGACAGGAGTAAAGACACTATGCTGCCAGCTTTGAGAATGAAGCAGGGGCTAGAGCTGGCCTCTGGAAACTACAAAAGGCAAAGGACTGGCTCTCTCCTAGCACCTAAGATGGAAAGCAACCCTGTCAACACCCTGACACCATAACAAAGGACAAGTTCATGTTATCTGAAGTTACTAAATGTGTAGTCATCTGTTACAGAAGCAACAGGAGACATGTATGTGTTAGATTTGAGACACCTGCTGGATATCCAAGAAGGGATGCTGGGAGAGGAGCCCAGGGCTCAGAGGGGACAGGACTCGAGAAACAAGAGCAGAGGAGCCAGTCTGAATTATGGGCCGTCTTCTCGTACTCCATTCCAAGGCATCACGCCCACACCAACATTTTTGAGGTAATTTCAAGATGTTCAAGAGTCCCTTTGTTCACAGAACCTCAGAACATTAAATAATCCAAAGTTACCTGTTCTAACCCTGGTAAGACTATTTCCTCCATAAGAAAAGAAACCAAATAACTCGCATTTTAAAAAAAAAAAACCTAAAATGTTTTTCCTCTCATTTCTACTTCTTAAAAAAGCCAAAAGCCAAAAGGTTACAGAAGTACTTAACATAGAAAGCAAATCCCCATGTAGCACAACGTTCATCACTATGTCCCTCTATATTCTTCTCCTGTGGCCAACATGCCTGGCAGCTTTTTAAATGTATGTACAGGTGCATAGGCTTGATTTTTTTAATCTTGCCTTTAAAAAATTAAGCTTACTATTTAAACTTGGTTATAATAGAAAAAGCCATGGTTATAATAACTGCAAAGCTACAGCGTTGAGAGAAATGTGATTTACTTCAGTAAAAATTCCTTGTAAGTGGGCTGGTTGAAAGGAAAGGACAACAGGTGGCTGATCAAAGAAATTTTATCAATGAATTTTAAGTAATGAAAACATTTTGACCTTAAAAATTAGAATACTAGAGCATCTTCAAAGACAAATATCTGAGTTTTAGGAGAAACCTTCTAACCTTCTAACCGTATGTGTTCAAAAAAGCTATTTTTTATTTCTAAAACATGAAAGACCTCGAGGAGGTAGTATTTTCTTTAAAATGCATTTGTTTCACACTCTTTTAGCCCAGAGGCTGCTGGGTTGCTACGGGAAAAGATTAACTCATACAAAGAGGCCAAACAACCTTGGTGCCCATTTGGCTCGGCCACGCCCTTCCAAGAAGTAACTATCTATACAGTGTCCAGATGTGGGCACCCTGCGTCCAGATGTGGGCACCCTGCTGGTGGACCATGGACTATACTTAACAGTAGCTTTGCACACTTTTTCTCAAGCATATGAGTCTCTACAAGTGAAAAACATCTACCAAAACCTGTGTGAGTTCACAAAACATTTCCTAGAAAGATCATTCTAGAAGAAATGTTTTATTTTTACAGTCATGAACGTAGAGTAAATAACAGGGCAGATGGGAATTTCCAGAAAAAAATAAAGGAAAACAAGGGATTGGGGAACAAGGCCATGCTAATGTATTTATGGGGGGACATGATGTGTAAGATATTGAAAGGTTTTAATGTAAAGGAATAACATGAACAGGCTGCATTTTAGAAAAATCACTTTGGTGGTTACAGAGAAAAAGGGATTACAGAAAAGCAAGCCTGGAGACAGAAAAAGCTAGTTATGAGGTTGTTGCAAATGTCTGGGACATGCCTGGCCCAGAATGCTAGCAGTAAGGATGGAGAAAGAGGACAGTGAAAAGCTACACTGAACACAGATTCAACAAAATGTGACAGCTCACTAGATATAAGTAGCCACCGTGAGAGAGGA